GAACAACGTAAACTGGTGAGTTGATCGTTTATAAAACTTGAGCGACACAGAGTGCTGAATATAGAGCAGAACTCAAACACTTTTCAACTTTATTCGGTAACATAGTGAGCTACAGTTTGCACATTTGGTTTGAATTATGTCGAATCATTGAATCTATGCTAATGCATCAATTTTCTATATTTTCACTTTCAGATTCCTCCTCTTTTGGCTCCTTCATACGAACTGCAACAGCGGCTACTGCAGCTGCACCAATTCCACTTCCATCTTCAGACAACATCAGCTTGTACTGAAGTTTTGCAGATGATGGGTAAATGTTGCTTGATTTTGTTACAACCCACTCTGAGATTTTCGTCGATTAGCTCTGCAATCTTATCGTCGAGCAGTTTTGGGAAAAGAGGATGGTATCGGTAGATGGATCCGTCTATTCCTACTGTTACCATTGGTCGTTGCATTCTGTTTATAAGAGTTGCAATACCAGCTGCTAATAGATGAGCAGACCTAAAGTTTGGGTCATTCAGGCAGTAGGCAAGAAAAATGAGATAAAGTTAAATCTGTAAAAAGCGTGAATAAGATTACGGCATTACACGCCCTTTACTCCAATTTAGTACTAAACGGTATGCTCAAAGCTTATAACGTGCCCATTCGGCAGAAGTGTGCTCTGCGCTTGTGGCATGCTATTTGCATTGTTTTCTCCTAGCAAAGAAAAATCAAATCTATGAAATTGCTTAGCTTGCCTTGCGCTAATCACACTACACACATACGCAACATTGGCACAATCTGCAAAACACTGATTTCTCACTCCTAATTCAGAGAGTATTTTATTGGTTGTTTGGAAAGTCTTTTCATCTTCACCAAGAAGATCCCTAAAATCATGTTGGGTAGGACATGGGACTAATATATCCTATCACTAGACTCACTCTTCAATATCCGAGACATATCTTGACTTGAAACATCCCTTTCTTGAGATTTCTTCTAGTTCACCACCAAAAATAAGGTTTTCCTTCGCTAACGATTCCAGTATTGTACGAACTAGCTCGCCCATATAAACGCCGGAAATCATCTTCTCAAAACTGGAATGCCATGATACTGCGGCTCTACCCGAAAGGAGTTAGAAAATTCACGTTTGTTTGCCTGGATTGAGACTTCCTTGGTCGACTTGGAGATCAAAACTCGTGTAGATGAATTTCAGAGCGCCATCATCTCCGAAAGCTCCCCATTCGGTGTTTATAATAATCTAAATAGTGTTCTTCTGGGCAGCGTTAGGTCATTTGGGCGGAGAAGCAACAGGGGATAGAAGCAAAGGTTCTTGATAATTTTTATGCAAGAGGCAAGTGGGAAAGTTTAAAGAATCAAGGCAACCTCATCAGGTAATCCATCATCTGCTAATTCTGCTTGGAGTTTCGGAGCTCGGTCGAGTTGTTCCATGTAACACGCGTTAGTTCCATTACCAATGACTATTCCTATCTGGCGGTAGAGAAATACAGAGGTTTGCCTATTACTTTTTGTGAATATCACTTTCTAAGATACCTGACATGTATTTTCTTTGAAAGCGCATGCCATTAATGTTCCCACAGTGTCATTAAGGAGAGCCACAAAATCAAGACTGATGTCCTTAAGAAGGAATTTAAGGGATGTAAGGGGAAATCATCATATCATCTAGATACGTACGTTCCGTCTATTACAAGCATCTTTTAGCATTGCGCAAATGTCCTCTCCTTCACAACCAGTCAAATTGAACTCTTTTGTCCATCTAATTAGCCTCGCGCTGAAATTTCGTAAGTGTAGATGGTCATCTGTGCAGAATACGCGCTTTCTAAAACAAACCTCGTCAAACCTTGTTGCTTACAAGGGAAGGAAAATGTGAAGCCAAGAGGTAGTTTTTTTGTAGGCGCAATGCCTTGTTCATCCATAAATTTCGCAATGCATTCGGCAATGTGATCGAAAAGCTAAATCATGGTGAAAAAA